CAATATGGACAGGTTTCAGCAGAGCATCCAGACCAAGATAAACTAGGAAGTTGGTGACAGCTTCTGAATGTTCAGCCAAAGAAAACCTTATGAAAAGCAGCAGGATGGTGACAGATATAATGCTGTTTGCAAGGCACTCAAAATACAATTGGGGAAAAGCTGCCTCCTCAAAGTAAAGTTGAGCATGATGAAGCAAATGGAAAAAGCTTTCAGGATCTTCATTTTCTGATGGTGCACAACTCAAAATGTAGAGAAATAGCAGCAAACATTCATTAATAATTGGAATGTGGAATTTATGAAGTATGAATCTAGGAGCATTGGAAGTTATCAAAATGAAATGGAGTGCATACCAATCGATAGATAACCTAGGCATTGATGAGTCAAAATAGACTGGTATTGCCATTTTTTAATCTGACAAACATATGGTTCAGTATGTTGGAAATGAAAAATTAAGAGCAATTGCATAGCATTCATCATTAAAAAAAAATATCAAGCTATACGTTGAAGTGAAAACCTGGTAGTATAGGGGTTGAGCAGGGATGCTAACTGCAAGGTCAGCATTTCAAATCTACCAGTCACTCCATGGGAGAAAACAGAGGCTTTCTGCGTCTGTAAAGATTCTTATAAAAGAAAAGAAAAGGTAACCGTACAAGAAGGTGAATGAACCCCTAAGAGTATAGACCCCCAAATCACTGAGGCATATCATAATCAAAGTTTCAAAAATAAAGATAAGCAATGAATTTCAATGCCATCTCAGGGAAAAATTAAAAGTTACCTACAAAGGAGAACCAAAAACAGTAAGGTATAATTTCTCAGCAGAAATCATGCAGGCAAGAAGGCCAAAAGATTACATATACACAACTCTGAAAGTAAAAAACTACCACCAAGAATAACATATGCAGCAAAGCTGTCCCTAAAATATGACAGTGAAATTTAGACATTTCTAGATGAACAGAAATTAAGGAATTTGTAATAACCAGACCAACTTTACAAAAGAGAGCAAAAGGTGTTCTTTGGACTGAGAACCAATGACAGCAGAAAATGACCTGAGATTATCATACATTACAACACCACCCAGAACTCAATCCAGATGCAGAAGTGTCCAAAGTAAACAAACCTACAAGACAGAAAATAGGGAACCAGAGATATGCTGAAGTCAACTACAAAGAAAAAAGGGAAACAGTATAGATATAAAACTTGCAAATAGTGAGGAAGTCAAGTAGACGACAATATAAAACAGATCCTTTTAAACATGGAAAATAATTAATAAGTAACGGATAATCTCAAAGAAAATTCATACCTTTTCACATCAAAATTAAATAAAGGGAAAATCCAAATGAATGATCAAATATTGACAGAATAAAAATGAAAAGAAAACCCTTACACAATAAAAACTCAGCACAGAAAATGATGTGGAGCAAACACCAGAAGCACCACACACACAAAAAAAAAATACACAGTAAATAAAACATAGTAAAATGACAGCAATCAACTCATGCCTATGAATAATTACACTTAATGAAAGTGGATAGATTGTGCCAATCAAGAGATAGAGGCAGAATGGAAAAGAACACAAGAATCTTCAATATGCTGTCTACAAGAGACACAAATATAATTATATGCACACTCATGTTCATTTTGTTTACAATTGTTGCAGACCGTGCAGACCTGGTCAGGTGTTTGAGGCCCTGTGGGCCCAAGTGTTGCAGACCATACAGGCCGCAGGCTCTGAGGAACAGACTCTGGCCACCTGGCAGATATGGCAAACTGTTTTTCATCTTAGTATTCAGCTATGTTTATTAGTAATTCCAGACATGAGCCCTTAATATCCACAGATACATATAAAAATCTCCTAAAGCCGAGGCCTAAAAGCCAGGACTGTAAAATTCCAAACAGGCAAAGTTCTTCCCTCAGAGAATTCATTCAAAGTAAATTGGGTGGCTTCCGGTCTCTGTTCTAAGGACAATAGAACTGCTGTGCCTAAAGTGTTTCCAGGTGCAGCCCATTTACCTAGGCGCCTCTTTTCCTGAAGAACCTGGGCTGGGCAGCCGACACAATGGGAATCCTCCTTTTCCTCCCCCCATTTGAGGTTAGGTGCTAAAAGGTATGTTAATTAAGCTTGAGAAACCTAGTTGCAGTCATGAGATTCGAACCTGCGGAGTACTATGTAAAGCTGCCTGAATGTCTGGAAAAGTAAGATTGATAGCTATACCTTGTCTTAGTCCTGCCCAGCTTTGTGTATAGTTCCTCCCCTAAATAAAACAGAGGCGCAGAACGAATCCAGGTGCATTACGACTGGCAAGGCATGCATTACAGCATGCAGGGGGCTCAGTCCAGCCTTGCAACCATATGGCCTGTTTAGCCAAAATGTTTACTATGCAGGATATTACAGCCTTCTTGGCTGAGATGTTTGCAATGCAGGATCCGCCTGATGCCAGTCCCTCATCCACTCTGGTTTCTGGGTGTCTCTTTGTCTCTCTCTTTGCGTCTCTGTGTCTTCTCTTTTGCTATCCCTATCACTGCCAGGTATCCCTACCTCGTGAACCAAACACCTATGTCGAGGCAGGTTCTCGGCACACAATAGCAAAAAGATGAAGACAGCCTAATTGCCCATCAATAGAAGAATGGCTAAACAAACTATGGTATATACATACAATGGAATACTATTCAAAATTGAAGAATAACTATGAATCTGAAAACACCTCACTAGCATGGATGAACATGGAAGGCATTATCCTAAGTGAAATCAGTCAAAAGAGAAATATTTTATGAGAACATTGTTGTGAAAAGTTTTTAAAAAATTAGGTTTTCTTGATAAAAGAAATAGTCTATGATGGTTACTGGGACAGGGGAGAAAGTTATACACCAGCTGAAGCATAGACATAACAATATACAACAAAAGGGAGGTTGGCAGAGGAAAGATAAAGGTAGAGGGAGAGAAAGGGAGGAATGCAAGAGTTACTGTGAATAGACGCAAATATTGTTAAGTGATGGTAGGTGGAGGGGATTGCCATCACTGTAATGAAACAAAGTATATGATTTGTTAGATGTAAAACTGATGATCTGCTCTATAAGTCTTCACTGTATTCACAATAAAAAGTTTAAGAAAAAAGATACAATTACTTCTCTTTTCTCACTGGAACATTGGGAAACTATTTTGAAGAATATTATGCATTTTTCTGTAGATTACTGTGTATCTAAAACCTCTTCCATCAAGACCCAATGAATAGTCAAGGGAGCCATAGAGCAGATTCACCAATGAGAATCTCCGTAGAGAAAACAGTGCTCCTAAAGTAATGGGGAAACTGTTGGGTTTGGCTATATGGCAGGGTGAGTGGGAAGGTAGGAGCTGACTCTAAGGACTCTAGTCTTCATGTCACAATGACTGGATCTAGGCATCAGGGGATGCTCTTGGTCCATCTCTGTGGTCCTAGGGGTTCTGAGGGTGATTAGAACTGGGAAGTCACCACCTGGCCTTGTCTGTTGCCCCCTGCTCAGGGCTCACAGCATATATCTGTGACCTCCCACACTCTGTGGGACCCACACGGTACTACCCATGCTTCACTTCTCTGGACATTTTTAGAAGCTGGGGGTGACCTTATTTGCATAAATGATTGTTCACTTCTCTCAGAGTATGAAGAGGGCACTGGGGGATGAGGAAGCTCAGCTCCAGGACTCAGGGACAATCTCCACCATGGCCTGGACCCCTCTCCTCCTCACCCTTCTTGTTCGCTGCACAGGTGAGTACAATGGGACTGTGCTTTCTCTTCCTATCTCTACAGCCAGAGTCATCATCTCTGTGTCTCATCTAATTTCAGGATCCTGGGCCCAGTCTGGGGTGAGTCAGACACCCTCTGTCTCTGGGAACCCAGGCCAGCAGGTCAGCATCTCCTGTACTGGAAGCAGCACCAACATCGGTGGTTATCATGTGCACTGGTACCAACAACTCCCAGGCTTGGCCCCCAAACAAGTCATATATGCTGATAGCAATCCACGATCAGGGGTCCAGGATCGATTCTCAGGTTCCAAATCTGGCAACACTGCCTCCCTGACCATCACTGGGCTGCAGCCTGAGGATGAGGCCGTTTATTACTGTCACTTCTATGATAATAGCCTAGATAGTCACACAGTGCTGCAGGTCAACAAGGAAGTGAGACAAAAACCCCATTCTCATCTCTAGGGAAGAGAATGCACTGCAGTTGCCTGCTCAGGACCAGCCTGGGTGTTCTGATTATTCTTGAGCTGCTGCACTCCTGGCCCAGCTCCCCCATGGGGCTCTGACTAGGAGGAAGCCCCCTCCTCACTGTCACTCACTACAGTCCCTTCCTGGACAACTTGGCTCAGAGGAAACAGGAAGTCCTTATCCTCATCAGGCTGAGACCCAAATTCCTTATCTTAAAGCCTGGGGCTGGGTTGGCAGGGTCAAGCCTTGAACACCTCAGACTCAACTTCTGACAAGGGAATCCTGTATCTCCAACATTAGCTCTCCCTCTTTCTTAAGATTCCAGAGCTACATCTGATTAGCCCTAACCACAATCACCAGCACCCTAACCTGCTTTTTTCTTATATACCTCTTCTTATGGAGCTATGGAAGGCCTGTGACTCCAAAACAGTAAGCACTACACTGCAAACCACAAGGTTCATGGTTCGAGACTGCTAGCGACTCATTGGAACAAAGAAGAAGCTTTTTTCTCCTGAAAATATTTTAAAGTCTCAGAAACCTTATACAGGGTTGCTATGAGTTGGAAATGACTCGATGGCATTAACAGCAACAACATTAATGAAGATAGAATTGATATATGAGAGCACTCATGTTTAAACTGTACCAACTGATGCTGTATTTATATGCCCTTGAAAACATTACCACAATAAAAATACTTAATGTGTCCACCAGCCAAACAGTCTCCTGTAGACACGTGTAATCCAAATGTCCGTGTCCTGTACAATGCCCTCACCAGGTAGCCGCTCATCTGAGTCTGTTACTGTTGTTTAAGTTCCAGTTCTGGAATGATTAACAAGTTTATACAGTATACATTCTTTGTCCCCATTTTCAGCTTCTTTCAATCATGCTGCTTCTTTTGAGATTTCTAAACAGTTTTGATTGACATTTGATCACAGAGGAGACCCATTATGACTTACTAGAGCCCTAGCACTGGTATAACACTATAAGCACTGGTCTACCAACCACAAAGTCAGTGGTTCAAATCCACCAGCTGCTCCTCCTAAATCCTATACCGGGTCACTTAGTCAGAACCGACTCTAAGGCAATTAACAACAACAACAACCACGATACAGCGGTAGATCTCTTACTTTCCATGTGGTTGATGTAGGTTTGATTCTTACCTAGTGCACCTCATGTGAGGTCACCAGTCAACATCAGTGAAGAGTTGAGTATTGCTTCTATGCTAAAAAGGTATTAGAACTTCCTGATCAAGACAGACTAGGAAGAAAGGCCTGGTGATTTAAAAAGTTAGTCAGTGAAAATCCTATGTGTGCCAATGGTCTGATTTCTTACTGATCATGTGGATGGTACCAGATTGGGCAGCTATTCACTCCTTTGTACATAGGATCATCATGACTGAGGTTCTAGTGGATGGCAGGTAAAAACAACTTGTCTCTTGACTCCATAGACACATTTAAAAAATTATTTAAAATAGTATTTTCTAATGGAAAATAAATATAATCCAATGAATATAGTCCATTTTATTATTATTGTAAAAGCAATTAAAATACTATCAAGGGCCCACAACGTGACATGTCCTTCTGACTTGGTGCATGATGTGCCAGATGAATGAGTTGCCAGCATGTGTCTTACATTATAGTGAGTTTTTTTTCCTTTACTTTTTTCTGATACCAAATAGAAAATGCATGTATAAGATGGCATATTGAAACATTATAAAGAATATCTCCCCCTCTTATAGGCTCTCTTCGGGTTTGTTAATCTTTATGAAATATATATCAGAGGTATTGGTCCTCTGATCAGCAAGTCACAGATGGCTGTGGACTCAAGTATCGGATTTGAAGTCTGGGTGTCCACATCTATGTTCATCTTGAGAACAATTGCTAGTGAGGATCAGCAAGTCACAGATGGCTGTGGGCTCAAGTGTCGGATTTGAAGCCTGGGTGTCCACATCTATGTTCATCTTGAGAACAATTGCTACTTACTGCAGTGTTTTACTCCTTAAATGTGTGACCTTATTTAGCTGCAGACCACTCTGTGACTACGTACCAGACAGTGGAAGTTGAATCTGGAGGGTGTGCACCATGTCCAGCAGAAGACACTGAAATTCAGCAAACACAAGACTAGCGGGTCATTTTAATTTGAATTTTAATAATTATATGATAGTAAATGTTTTGTGTCACCTTTAGTGGACCAGGAATCTCAATGGTTTGGCTGTTAAGATAAAGTTATCCCCCATGATGAGATTGAATATAGTGTTATCAACTTTATGATATGGTCTGCTAAGAGCTCCCTTGTAGGTGTGACCTGCTTCCAATATACTGGACACATACAAGGCTTGCTTGCTCTCTTCTGGGTCTGAATCTTGCATCTGGCTCATCCTCTGACTACTTGTTCTTTAGACATGGGCTAGTGGCCTGCTTTATTCCCTGCCAATCCTGGAAGCTGTCAGCAGCTTGCCTCTTACCTGCCAACCTGACTCTGATCTGCCTATCCTGGTTCATCTGACCCTGAATTAAGACTCTTCTACCTCTACAACTGTGTGACACATTTCTTTGATATAAACTTTTCCTTTTATATACTTTAATGAGTTACATTGGTTTTGCATCTCTAGAGAAGCCATTTGGTAACAAGAGTGGGTCTAAAGAAAAAAATCTCATAAAATTTTGTTTTCTGCAGGATAATGGACCTCAAGGTCAGATTGAACCACAAGGTTAGAGGTTCACACTCACCAGCCACTTTTTGGAAACCCCATGCAGGTGATGCCAATCTGTGGCATGAGGCAGCATTATTAATATGCAAAATATCACCACCAGTAAATCACGTACTGGAGAGTAGAGACATTATGGGTGATTGTCATGATATCTTTCTGCAATTTTGTCAGGATGAGAAGTATAAAGAAGTTGGTCTTACTTGGTTTTATTTACACTAGAGCAAATGTTAAAGGAAAGAGATGAGCTCAGGACTTAATGTTGTTAAGTTCCATAGATTTGGTGCCAACTCATAGAAACTCTGTATAGTGTTTCTGAGGAGCAGCTGGTGGATTTGAACTGCCAACCTTGAGGTTCAAACTGACCTTCTGGTCTAATGCATTATCCTGAAGCACCATACCAAAACTTAGGGCTAACAAGTCACAAATCAACAAAAGATCTACATAAAAGTTCTAAAAGTTTCTACATGTGTCCTGAATGAAAACGTTATTTTGTGTAGTTGTTGTTATTGTTGTATTGTGCTGTGGAGTTAGTTTCAACTCATAGCGACCCTGTACAGGGTTTCTGAGGCTGGAAATCTGTACGGGAGCAGAAAGCCTCATCTTTCTCCCGCGGAACTGCTGGTAGTTTCGAACTGCTGACATTGCGGTTTACAGCCCGATTCATAACCACTACACTACCAGAGCTCCTTATTTGGTGATATTGCTTAAAACCAAACCCAGAATCATATTTGATGATGGACTGAATTATAACACCAGCTGAATACCCAACCTCAAATGGTGTCTAATGTTAATGTGAGAGTACTAATTGGGGAGAAATTAGATCCAAAAATTGAGATGGGGACATATAGACAGATAATCAGACAACTGGGGACTTATTATTGTTGTAAATTCCTAGCAAGTCTGTTCTGACTCAAAGTGACCCTTAGTTGCTCTTATGAGCGACTGGTGTCTTAGAATTGATGAGTAGCACTGCAGTGCTTAAAATTCCCTAACAGAACCACCCTTTTTAGCCCAGTGATGAAACTGAATAAGGTGTGGATGATAAATAACTGTCTGAGATATCACCTTGGTGTTAATGTATGAGGCACTGCCTAGGGCAGCACTTGAGGCTAAATATGTCCAGAAACACAACCATCACCCATTATTGTTTCTAGACCTACAACTAGACTTAAGTCCCAGTGAGCCCCAGAAGGTGAAGCACAAATGTGACACTGGAAGACGTACATTACATTCTAAAAGAACTGCTTGATTTTTCTAATGTGTGCAAACAGAAGCATGCAGAATATATATGGGGATAGCTATTAATTGTGTGGGAGAATAGTGAAAGGAAACATAAGATTGGATCAGTGTGAGTTTCTTGATTTGGACCCACTAAGCACAGGTTCTTCAGGTTTCAGCTCCAGAGGTTAGGACAGGATATGATAGCTTTTGTTTTTGCTGTTAACTGAAGCAGGGATTTTACAGTGACCTACAATACGTAAAGTTGAAATAATAGATCTTCCTGGCTATTCTGTAGAGAAATGAATCCAAATGCTTTGGGGAATTGGCATGTTAGAGTGGATTTCTCAGGATACACCCATAATCCCACACATTGAATGCTCAGAACACAATATTTACCACAATAGTGAGAAACAAGTTTGTGATGGGAGAAGAAACAACTTATGAATCACCCCTACAACCACTTGGGTATCTGAAGTAAACCAACAGTAAGGGAGCAACTAAGGCAGTGTTAGGCAGTTAGAACAGGGAAGACATGCTCAGAAATGTAGGAAACAACCTGACCTGACAGGGGAGTCTAGTAAAAGGAAAGAAAGAAAAGGGGATTGCCCCGCAAATTAGACTTAATGCAGAAAAGACTAAGACTGACCTGATGTAATGGGAAAGAAGAAATAACCAATTATGGGTCCTAAATTACGAAAGGAAACCATAGGATCAGGAGATCCAGAGCCTATCTGGGAGGAAAACAATATAAAAAGTGAAACGAGGAACTCACTCAACACTCCCCTCACTCACAAGTGGTAGCCCCGTCTTATCTTTGTGAGAACATCTGTGATTTTGCTTCTTTGAATTTCTAAATCTCTCATTATTTTCACATGTTTATCTAGCCTACACAATATCAATTCTTTGGAAGGGATAGTGAGACCATGCTTCATATCACTGTAATATTTTTGGTGCCTAAAGCAGGGAAACATTTGCACACTTTCTAAATCTCAGGAAAGTTCCCTTAACCACTAAGGTGACACACATGTTGGATAATAGCCGAATGTTCTGTCCCTTTAAATCAGGA